ATATATATAATTGCTTGAAAACATAGAGAAAATTTTTTGAATAATTACCGTGTTTTATTTTCTCGACATTCAAAAAGTCTCCCAAATATAGGCAACATATTTAAAATAAAAAATAAACAAATACATTTATTTTTGTCACTGTGCTTTTTTCATTTCTCTCTTTTCACTTCCTTGTGAAGTTGTTTTAGCTCCTTCACTTCCTCATTGTTTGACAGATCTGGTTGTGGTGCGTGGGCGTGTGTCACTGTATGTGTGTGTGTGTTGGTGTGTGTCAGTCATGAAAGACGGAGAGGCAGCACGAGGACCAGACCAGGTGGTGGGGTCCTCTCAGGACCTGTATGAGGACTACCTGAGCTGGTACCTTCAGCCGGGTTCGGAGGCTGGGCCGTGTGAGGACACCGAGCTCCAGGTGAAGGCGGCCCAGTTCCTGAGCAGGGAAGCGGACCTCTCACACACCTTCACCGTGTTCCCGTTCCAGCGGGCCGTGAGGGAGAAGTGTGAAGACCCGAGCAAAGACCGCAGGAAACACCTGGCAGCTTTCATCAAGGCTGCCAAGGTGCTGGAAACCATCTGCGTCAACCTGTTTCTGCAGCCGTGGAGGAAGGAGATCAAAACTCTCAAGGTTTCTCAAAAGTTTCTCTCTGAACGATATGTTCATCTGAAATTAAAGGGCGAATGAAATGAAATCCAAAAATAATTACTTTTCATGTTTATCTTTTAGTTAAACACTTACATAGTGCACAACTTCTCTGATTTAAACTGTTTGTAGAGTTTTTGAGTATTAAATGTCAAACTGGGGTAATTGTGGGGGAGGAGCTGTCCCTGGATGATGACATCATTAGTGCAGGTTGAGAGAAAAATAGTCATAATGTATTCTATAGTTTTAAACTTATCTGCTGATGAGAAATGACAGGGTTATAGTTTCATATCCAGTGGTTTATGAGATATTTTGCTGACAGAGTTGACTGAAATAATAGAAAATTGCAGATTTTCTGTAAAACTGCTTTATAGCTGTTTTTGTGTTTCCTAATTTTAATGAGGCATCTTTAATTGAGTTAACAGCCAATGATGACTTTCTGAGAGCGTCCATAATATCTGCTTGATAGCTTATGAGATATTTTGCTAACGCTGCAGACAGACAAACATGGATAGGATAAAATATTCTAACCTTTTATCTGAAACAAATACAAAACTATTTTAAAAATGTGTGTAGAGAACCTGAACAGGTATAAGCTAAAGCTAGAACCTCTCTGAAATCATTCTGAAGTCTCACCCCACACCTGTGTGGATCACTCTGTTGACAGCACGTTTAATAAGGCATGAACTATGAACCGTGTTGAAACATTTCCTGTACTGTCAGAAAACTTTTAAAAACACACTCCACTTCCTGTTTTGAAGAGAAGTCAAATCATGACTAATATAATAACTTTCTGCACTCAAAAAGAAACTGTCCCACACAAATACAACATTAAGTCCCTGAACATCTGACGAAATGAAGCGAGTGTGAACAACAGACCAGACACACTAAAAGTAGCTAAAGTCAAATATATTGTCTGACATTAGGAAGAGATTTTTGGTGACATTGCTGTTCTTGTACCGTTAGATTCCAGTAAGAGATGTTAGAACAGAAGCGCCTTTATCACTACGTTTTTATTTAAATCATCATTTTTTTACTCACTTTCTCATCCTGCAGCTTTAGAAAAATTCATATAAAACATACAGCTATTGGGGAATAATGTACTTTGACTTTTGTTATGTATTATAATATGCAATTTTATTCTACTTACAATGTGATGTTGACGGGACGCACATAAAGGTTTTGGTCTGGTTCTCAGGGGAGAACCTGGGGTTGTTGCTTGGTGCTCATATTTTCCTTCACTCATTTAACACATTTATCTAGAGGGGTGTTAGGGCTTTTAATATCGCCCTGTTCTATTTTATGACCCCTTCAATCAGCTGGCAATGTCTCAGGACATCATGCCAAATCAGAGTTTTTTATTTATTTTTTTATTATTATTATTTTACTCTGCATACATTTTGTATACTACGTAAGTGGCCAATGGGCTGACCCACGGTCATATGTCATCTCAAACTGAACATTTCATGTTTAAACGTTTGTTAGATTACACATGACCCTGAGATGTACAGCTGCTGTAGTTTGRCCTTKGTTAAACCAGCTCTCCACWCTCTCCAGACCAAGCAGCAAGTATCTGTCTTTTGCACAGAACCAATGTTTTATTTGTTAGGCTGGTTTCTTTGTTAAAAGACTAAAAAGATTATATTTAGATGGTTTCAGTTCATGTAATCATTTAACATTATTTATTCTTCATATTTGATCATTTATTGAATTACGTTTATCCTAGAGCAGCTGTGTCACAGTACGATCCTAAATATAAACATGTTTGTATCAAGAACCTTGTTGTTACCATAAAATTGTGAAGAATGAAATTTGTGGATCTTTCTGATAAATTAAAATAACATTTAAAGCTTATTCACCTGGAGAACATGGCAAGTTTTTATTTAAATTTTTTTTGGATGGGGGTGACGTTAAACAGAGACTCATCTTTGCTTTGATATGGGGCAAATAAATGCTCTTCTGTTAGAGGTAATATGATTTAGAAGAACTCAAACAGTGAATCTCACAGACTCACAGGCTGAGGCGCGTTCCTATGAGAGAGTTTAGTCACTGATGCAAAGTTGAACAGATCTGTTTGATAACAACGCTCTGAACATATATTTAATATAAAGTTAGGTTTTAGAGACCAAAGTCTCTGGTAGTTCAGGAGCAAAGTGCTGGAGGAGATGTCAGGACTGATCGCTGAGCCGCTGTCTCTGCTGAAAGTCCCGCCCTGCTCTGCTCTGATTGGATAAAACAGCTCTGGAGTTCGTCTGATTCGTTGAAAGCAGTGTCCGTTTAATCCTTAGGGTCCCGCTGCCCTCCTCTGACAGAACGATCCAGTCACACCAGTGAGGCTGGATTTTTTTGTTTGTTTTTAAGAAATCAGGTTGCATTTGCGACCCTGTTGTTTTCACAATCTCAGGTGMAATCTTAGGTACGCAAGGGAGCTTTATGACATTCCGTCTGGTGCACTTTTTTCTTTTTGGATCACGCATGCGCACCTGTGCACCACTTATGTTCAACTCTGTATATAAGGCACTGTACAGTGAGTGAGAGAACAAAGACAGCCAAGAGTGCTGTCAGGGAGTGACAGACATAAATGTAATGGTTACCCTAACAACCCAATAAGAAATTTGAACCCAAACTTGTGGCAGTAGCTGCTTGATCACCATTTAAAACATCTTCACAAGTTTTGGAGTTCTGTATCATAGCTTTGTTATCCACACCATAACACTGTTTTTGTTCTTCTTTGTCTTTTACAGACTTTTACAGGTGCCTATGTTTACTACCTCTTGCCTGKTTTCAGCAGTTCTACTCTTCAGTGTGTTTTGGCCTCTATCGGCTACCTGCCACATGATGCCACTCAGAGGTGAGACAAAAAAAAAAAAAACTAGCTGTAGATGACGAGCTCTAAACTTCTTGCTTACATCACAGAACAGGAGCGATGCACTGAAAGCAGAAACTAACTCAAGTATCAGATCAGATCATCCTCAGCACCAACGGTAGTAAATGTTGGTGTAAAATCTCAGTCATGCAGGATAAAACAAATCTTCTGTAGCAGAAGACATGAGCTTTAAACGGCATGACGTTGGTTTCGACAATGCTCCTGTTTTATGATGGATCAGGGCCAACTGTCAGAGATTTGACTTCCTGAGCACTTTGACCAGGTCTAAGGTTGTGGTAAATACTGCATGTGCAAATAAACACTCAAGTATGAGTTTGAATTAGTTTCATGGGTATAATTTGGGCTTGTATTATGAACACAATAAATTGATTTCTTTCAGTCACATATTAAAAAAAACCTGAGTCAGATTWGCAAAAAATGAGATTTGTCACATTCAGACTGTCCAATAAAATGAAGTCTGGGCCAAATTCCCAGCAGTGTGAATGTAGCCTTGGTGAAAAATTTGGACTGTCTAGCTCAATAAATCTCTGATCTCCTGCAAGTAAGACACTGACTATTGGTAACAGCTCCACAGAACCCCACTTCAGAAAAAGTTATCACTTTATTGAAAAATATGTTGCTTTCATATAGGAACTTATGGTGGGCACTCATGGCTATAGGTGGCCGGATGGCACCACTCTTGCCTCCTGTGCCTGTGCACACCCCCCAAGGTTTGCATATAGACACTTAGGGTTTTGGGTTAGAGTAGTGGTGGAGGGGAAACTGGCACCACGCCGGCCTCTGCCTCTTCTTCTTTCCCTTTTTAATTACTCTATTGAACAACACGCACCAACAGTACATCTGGGGGTGGGGGTGTGGGTGTCAGGGTCTTTATTCCCATCCCGTTTCCCGACTGCCATTTGGGGAGGGGGTCCTGAAGAAGGGCGGGCCGCCAGGTGTGGTCCTGGGCTGTGGGTGGGCTCGGGGCTTGGACGGTTGCCGGAGGCGGGGCTGGCTCTCCATCCTCCCTGGTGCTGCTTGGTCTCCTGAGGTGTGGCTCTTGGTCTCCTGAGGTGTGGCTCTTGGTCCCTGTGGGTGGCCCCCTGGCCGGGGTGGCTGCCGGATTCCGGGGGGTGGACGGCTGTGGGGCTGCACTTGGTCGCTGTCGGTGTGGTGGGGTGGTCAGGGGTGTGGCTTCTCTGCGGCGGGGGGGCTGGCCGGGCGTCCTGGTG